TGGATGACACTCGCTTCTTGATCGCCAGCACCAACTGGTATTAACCCCTATCAGCCCCTTCTCCTTGCCGGTCCTGGTCCCCAGCTCACCCCACCGCAGTCCGACCCGACAAGGACGACACTCGCTTCTTGATCACCAGCACCAACTGGTATGAACCCTGGAGTAGCCTCTTCTCCCTGCCAGTCCTGGTCCCCAGCCGGTCCTGGTCCCCAGCTCGCCCCATCGCAGCCCGGCCCGGGGCAACCCCTCCCCCGGACGACACTCGCTTCTTTAGCACCAAGTGTATTTAACCCTGGAGTAGCCACTTCTCGCCGGTCCTCGTTCCCAGCTCGCCCCACCCGACACAGACCTCCGCGGATGCCACTCGCTTCTTGATCGCCGGCACCAACTGGCATTAAGCCCTATCAGTCCCTTCTCCTCACCGGTCCTGGTCCCCGTCTCGCCCCTTCGCAGCTCCCCCCGGACGACACTGGATTCTTCAGCACCAGCTGGGATTAACCCTGAAGCAGCTCCTTCTCGCCGGAAGGGAGCAGAGGAGCAGCATCCCCCCTCCCTCCGCCCCGGGCACGGAGAGGATGTCTCAATAAAGGAGATGTAAAGCACCAGGGTTTATTTTCCTGCCTCGAAGAGTTGGTTGAGCCGCTCGGCCTCTCGCCACCCCGACAGGAGAGCCCCGTGGGTGGTGGAGTAGAAGGTGCGGTGGGTGGCTTCGCCGGCGAAAAGGAGCTGCAGAGGCTGTGGGGAGGAGGAAGGTGAGTGCACGGGGGTCAGCGCCGCCTCCAGCCCGGGGCTTGTGCTAAAGCAGCCTCACCCCCTGCCCTTTGGCACTTCGCGGGTACTTGGGCTGCTCTGCAGCCACGTAGAGATCGAGGAATGTGCACTTTCCCTTCCCTAGACACCCCATGCTGTGAGGACCCTGGAAAGTGGTTGGGAAGAGCCGAGTGTCCAAAAATGTTATGGAAATGGAGTTGCCTACACAGCTGTGGAGCTCAGCAGAGGTTGGTGGGTGACCTGAGCATTGGTGACCCCCAAATGGTGCCCTAAATTGTGACCAGTGCCACCTTCCTGTGGCTCACAGAATGGGCCAGGTTGGAAGGGACCACACTGGGTCATCTGGTTCAACCTCCCTGCTCAAGCAGGGTCATCCTAAAGCTTTTTTTGTCAGGGTCTCCTCTCCCCTCCTGGGACCTCCTCTTGTCCCTCCCCTAGACCCTGCTCCCAGAGGCTTGGGGTGCCCTGTTCCCACTCCTGTCTGTCTGTGCCCATGCCTGGGGGTCCTGCTTCCCTCACAGCTGCTGCATCCCTTGAGCCCAAATCCTTACCCTAGGGTCCTTGGGGTCCTCGGGCAGGGGCTGTGCCAGCACATCAATGTCCTCCCCCGAGCTGCCGACGGCCACGTAGCTGTAGGAGCCGCAGGTGTAGGGAGCACTGTGCCAGCGGGACCTGAGCATGCTCCTGGGAGCAGGCAGGCTTGGATTCCCTGCAGGTGTAGAGGTTGGGTGGGATCCAGAGATCCAAATCCCGCTGGGGTTGGGGTGGGCAGGGCAGAGGAGGCACCTGTCAGTGTGCGGAGGACACGTGTCATGGTGCTGAGAACCTCTGCGTCACTCAGTGTCTCCATGTGCTCCGACTCCTTCCCCGCAATGAAGCCGCAGAGGACGTGCCCATGCCTGGGGAGGAAAGATGAGGCTGAGAGCTGCTGCTCACCAGGAGTCTGCCCTCCCTGCTTCACCTCATGGGCCACCAGTGACCCAGAGAAGGCCTGGAAGCTCCAGATGACGGCAGTGCTCCTTCACATTGCCTGGAAGATGCCCCTGTGCTGGTGCCCCCATCACGTACTGCTCTGGTGGTTGGAGTACCACGAATCCGATGAGCTTCTTGAACCAGTTGCCCTCCAGGTCAGTGCTGGGCTCCTCCAGTGGCGATTCGTCCTCCCACACCACTTCCAGGAGCTGCTGCTGGGGATCCCAGAAAGGCTGGTCAAACTCCAGGAAGATCTTGTTGTTGGTGCCAAAACCCAAGTGGCGAATGGCCTCTGCTTTCCGCTTGGGCAGGGGAGGCTGGAAGAGTTCCTGGTGGTGTTCCTTGAGGAAACCTGCAGGCACAAGATTGGGCAGCTTTCAGCCAGGCTGCTAGATGGAGCCTGAGACACTTTGCCATCTTCAAGCCCCTTTCCAGCCTCCCATCTCCCACTGAGGTTCCTGGTAGGAATGCTGGGAAGGGTTTTGAGCAACAAGAGCAAGACGGAGGAAGGGAGGGAGAGATGGATGGGTGGATGGAGGGAGGGATGGATGGAGCACAACCTGCTCATCTTCAACCACACCTGCTGGTTGGAAGAGACAAGGAAGGCAAGGAAAGGTGTTGGTGTCCTCACCCAGTGGGATGGTTACAATGACATGGTCAGCAAGGAAGGCATCTCCATCCTCACACTCCACACGGACGGGGAAATCCCTGGCATCATTCCCTTCCTCATGGAAGGACCCTTGCCACTGGATGGTCTTCACTGCCTTGTTGAGCAGGACAGTGCCCTCTGGCAGAGCTGAGAGCAGGCGATCAGCCAAGCCCAGGCTGCTTTAGCCACTGCAGGAAGAGGCACAGCTGAGGTTGGGGAGCCCCCCAAAATGCTCCTCCATGACCCCCTCTGGCACCCTGTCCTTACCCTGGGAAGGTGCAGTCCAGGCCTGGCAGTGAGACATACTCCCCAAAGGGCTCCAGAGCCACCAGGTCCATGCTGTGGGTGCCACTGATGCAACACTCCAGCTTGAAGCAGGCGGCGAGGACAGCCAGCTGGAGCCTCCGGGCATCCTCCTTGCCCCCTGCCAGTGTGGGCACCCTCCGGGCGATCTCTGCCCGCAGGTACTGCCCCACACTTGGCACCGGTACCTCCTCAGCCCCCTGAAAAGCACGAGTGGAGGCCAGGAGGGTGTGGAAGAGGTCACGAGCTTCGCTCACCACCTTGGGACTCAGCACCTTCCCTGAGCTGCCGTAGGTGACGGAGGGCAGTGGGGGGTGACCTCCTGCTTCTGCCTGCTGGTTCTCCTCCAGGGCAGCCTCGGGGCCCAGCAGGCCATAGCTTGTGGCCAGGCAGAAAACAGGGTTGCCTGGTGAGGGGCCATGGATCCAGTGTGCCCCCATCTCCGCCAGCCCTGACGCTGCCAGGAGGGAGGGAAGGAAAGGGAGTCACTCCACTGCATGCATATGGCAGGAACCCCCCGGGGAGCAGGGACCCCCAACCCCATGTGCCTACCAAAACAGCTGGAGCCAGTGGACCCTCCCGTGCTCCAGCCCACACTGTGCCACCCTTCCCAGGTCCCGTTTGATCCCACTGCACCCACGGGACTGGACAACCCCTGCTACGTGTCCATCCCACGCAGGACAGAGCAAGGGGGTTAGGTGCCACTCCCCCATCCTTAGTCCTGCCCGGTAAAGC